TATATTATTAAATTAAAAAAATAAAAAACCAAATTGTGAATCTTCATCGAAGAAAGACAAATGGGGAATGGCTGCTTGAGTGTCCAAAATGCATTTTATAGATAGGGTAGCTGAGTCAGATTGAAAGTTCAAAGTCTGCTCGTCAATTAGGCCAGACATCTGAAATTTATGCGCATACATCAAAACTAATTCCAAATTTAATTAATATTCAAATTTAAATCATATGTCAGGTAATTAGGTCTCTTTATGTAAATAAATTTTAAACATTAATAATAATTAAAAGGACAGGATCTAAATATTTTATGTTACAATATTTAATAAGAAAAAGTAAGAATTAAAAAAAATTGACCATGATAAAAAAAAATTAATATAGAATAAATGGCAGTAATCTGCAGCATAGAAATTTATAAATTGAATTTTTTTATACACAGCCAGCAACATTTGATTAAAAAAATGTGCTTTCAAAGTGTATCTGACATTTTGAAAGTTTCTAACCCCCCAATTGACTCATGTTTCTTTAATTAATCAAGAAAAGATTACAAACTTAAAGAGGAGATAGACACGGAATGATGCGTTGGATTCATGCGCAGCGCATATTGTCTAACTCCTATTCCTTAATCATTACAATTACTAAATTACACTATCATCCATCACATGGTTTTTTCATTTGTTTGTTTTATTAAAAAAATAAATTGTTAAATAAATGTACATTACACTTAGATACCTATACATGCTTATACAATATTCAAATGAATAAATATCATCCTTTTTAAAATTCTAAGAAGGGAAGAATTTTCATAATTTATAATTTTGATAATTTTTTATCAATTTTTTAAAACAAATTCAAAAATCAGTTTTTTTATTATTTTAATGAAAATGGAACATAGAAATACCGAACAACCCTATAATTAGATATTTGATTATTTATTAATTACACACTGAATGAATTATGAATGAGAGATTAAAAAGTTAAATCATCTATTTCAAATATATATATCATGGTCAAGATGATGCATTAATTTATAATGATCAATCCTTCACATTCCAACACTCATATTAATCATACAATAAATAAATTCACTAATAATCCATTGCTACGGAATAATTTGTTTTTAATTAATTCATTAATTTAATGGAGATTGGCAGATTGACCCACTGTTTTGCCTTTATGTTGGTTTGTATTTTATTCATTTTATTTCGAGAATCTATAATTAGAATTAGTGTGCGAGTAAGCAGCTAAAATGAACTACTATAACATTAACTAGAAAACTGAAAAAATAGAACAAAAGACCTTTAAAATGATTAATATTAATTTTATGTTTATTTTTATCTTATAATATAAATATTGAAAAATTAAAATTTATTATATTGTCTTGAAAGTAATTTTGTTTTCTCACCACAGATGATTTAATTGACGGCTGATAAAGTAACGCTTGTGTGCAAATAAGTTCAATAGATTTTACGCAGTAGTGTTTAGTTGGTGCCCTTTGAAATATGGTGAGCAATCAACAGCATTTTCGTTATATTTTACTTTTTTATTTTAGAAAAGGTAAGAATGCTGTTCAAGCCATAAAGAAATTAACTGATGTGTATGGAGTTGATGCACTTCAACAGAAAAGATGTAGTGTCCCACCAAGATAATGCGAGAACTCAAACAAGTTTGGTCACTAGCCAAAAGCTTTTACAGCTTAGATGGGATGTACTGCCACACCCACCAAATTCTCCAGACCTGGCCTCTTCGGATTATTTGTTCCGGTCACTGCAAAATATTTTGGACGGTAAAACCTTTATCTCAAATGAACACACAAAAAATCACCTGAGACCAAAAATTTTATGAGTGTGGAATCATGGTGCTACCCAGAAAGATGGCAAAAGGTGTTGGATCAGAATGGTGGCCAATGTATATATAATTTAATTAAATATTTATACATTATATTATACGAAGATCATCTTTCATTTTCAACACAAAAAAACGAAATCACATTCAGTGGGGGAAACCTTATTTATAATTATAATTCAATAATTTAAATTAAATGTAAGTTTCAATTTGACAAGTCGCTAACTTTTACGACAAGGAACTAGATTTTTAGTACAAAACCTTTTCAGCCATATTAGTAATTATATTCGCAAATAAAACATTTGTTAATCAATTATTTTGTTCGTTTCCAGGCTTTTGGATGAATGTGTTTGCTTATTTCAGAAAATTTTATCGAAAAGTGAACTTAACATCAAATTTATTTTTCAAAGTCTAATGATCTTTGGATACCTATCGATAAGTTATTATATTTTATTGTATATATTTTTATGTTGTATTTTATGTTGTATTTTATAGTGTATGTATTTGGACTCAATTGTCATTACATGAGGAAAACTAAAAATCTTCAAAAAGAAATTAAAATTGAAAAATTAATGGACGATTTAATCAAATTAGAAAATCAAAAACTTATAACACTAACACTCAACACCATAACATTGTTAACAACCTAAAAGCTGAAAGCAAACAGTTGAAAGGTAATTTTAAAAGATTCTCTTCTCACAAAGGAATTGATCGATGCTGCAGCAACTTTAAAATTAACAATAACATTATGTTCCGAAAAACTTACAAAACCCCAATCTATGTAATTATGGATAAAGAAGATTATAATGATAAACTGAATGGCATTCTCGATGACAGTGACAAATTTATTAAGATTAGCAGTGATCCAACTGCTAAACTTAAGACAAAGTTGAATAAGTGTAGCCCGGTGTAGCAATGGGCTCCCCATTTGGGAGTACTCTTCGGAAATTTTTTCAACCGTGGTTGCATGATTAATATTAATTATGTTTGGTAGGTTCAATTGGATAGGCCTACTATATTAAAATATTTTATAAATCAAAAAATTTGTAGCAGTGGCGTAACATTTTGAAACGTCGTTTAACAGAAATCAAACAGTACATCAATTGTTCATGGAGCACAAAAATATTCTTTAGTAGATTGTAATTTAATTTTAACTGTTCATTACGTTGCATTTTAACATTATTAACAATCACCTACTGACATCCCGCAGCCTCAACTATAAAAAAAATATGTCACTTCACTGCTTTTCCTGCTTCCAGTATAAATATGGAAAAGATTCAATAGGAGGGCAATTAAAGTTAAAAATTTTATGGTTAGTACTCAATTTCAAACGCTTCTAATTTGAGCGTTAGCCTAGAAGGTTTGCTTCATTAAATTACATATTTTAGTGTTTGCTACTTAACCGAACCTAAACTTTTCACACTGCACAAATTTTAATGAAAGTATGATATAATTGGTCATTACTAATCATCCTTAAAGAAATATTGTGAAAAGAATTCAATGGAAAAATACAAGTATAAAATATCTTGGGTAAACATTTATTAATATTTTTGATTTAATTAATGTTTTATTTGGACGTACAGTTCTAACCTCAATAAACTCTTTTAAACCGTTTAACAGAGGCGGATTGGGACAAAAAATCGGCCCGGGACTTTTGAAATCAATCGGCCTTAAACTTTTAAAATAAATCAGCTTTCCAGAGACATAGTTATAAATAGTATCTTAAGATCTTGACCACTCTTTCCGAGAAAATATTTTTCACAGGATATGAACCAGACAATATAAAATAAGCTAAGTTCATTTATAGATTTTATAAACAAAAATTTTTTGAACTCCATAAAAATCTGTTTTTAATATTACAATAAAATTGTATTTGATCTCTAAAAAATGATAAAACAATACCTTAAGAAAAGTTCATTAAAACTAAACAGTTTTATTTCGTTGTCTTCTTCTATTTTTTTTCCTTGTTAATAATATCTTTAATTAAAAAACAAAATGTTAAGCAATCAACAATTTTTTTAAAGCATCACTTGATAATTTTTTCGTTGTCTAAATTCATTAATGTAGATTTTTCTGTGTTCATCAGCATAAATGATTCCAAACTGTCTTGTGACAAGCTGTTTCTTACACGATTTTTAATAAATTTTAAAATAAAATAAACTTCTTTCACAAGCTACTTGTGCGAAAGATAAAGATAGAATATACTTTTACGCTATTCCAATTTTAGAATAGGCTTTGCTCATTAAATTGTATTGCAATTTGCAATATGATAAGATAGCAACAATTTCTACAATTTTTACACGAAACACGATGTTTGACATTTATCTTCTCTGTTTTTCGGGTCTTTTATTTTCTCCCAGTTAAGTAGTTAACTCAAAAGCCTAACAGTAGTTAAGCTTCTTTTGAGTTAATTCGTAAATTTCCCGCTGTAGCTTGATCATCAAAAATCATGAAATGCTTACTTAGTTCATTTAGGGCTGTTATTGGAAGGCCTTCTTTATTTAACAATTCGCAGTTTTCGGGGTTCAGCAATGGGAAATCTGCATAAAGTCCACGCGTTTCCTTGAACCTTTTGGTCATACTTCATGCAATATTGGTAAATATAACAGTTTGATCTCTCTTTTTCACGGTTTCTCTTTATTTCCCTTTCTTTTTCTCTCTTTCTTTCTCATAATATAAAGGTCAGTCGTTATGATAGCTAAGTTCATAATCGTTCTTCAAATGATGTCGGTCGCTTTCTGCAACCTTTTTCCTGATTCATTTACATTTTCGGTAAATTTAAATAAATTCTGTTTTGAAATAAATTCAAAAAAGTTATTTCGTTTTTTCCGCGAGTTATTTACCATTGTGTAAATTTTTATTGTTTTTCCATTTTGAAAGAGTTGGTTTTGTGTTCTGTTTTGTTTGTTAAATCAAATTATTCATTTTATTTATTAATAAATTTAAATAAATTTATGTTTAGTTAATTAATAAATTTACTATTAGTTTTACAAAGATAAAAAATAGATTTTGACGAATATATATTATTTTATAATTTTATATGCTATGCTATGGATATGCTACTAATGCTATGCAGCTTTGAATAAAATTAATAAAACTAGTTTCTTCATCTCTATCTACCATGAAAGCTACTTTGCGCAACAAAGCAACGCAATCGAACAAAATGATTGCCTCATCAAACACTGACAGACCAGGTCGAACCACACGTGATGATTTCAAACACGAAGGAACAATAGCTGGTTTGTACGACCTGGGAGAAACCATTGGCAAGGGACATTATGCCGTCGTTAAGCTGGCCCGCCATGTCTTCACTGGCGAAAAAGTGGCTGTGAAAGTGATTGACAAATCTCGTTTGGATGAAATTTCAAAGTCCCACTTGTTTCAGGAAGTGAGGTGCATGAAGTTGGTACAGCATGCAAATGTTGTCAAACTTTACCAAGTTATTGATACTCAGTCAAAGCTCTACCTAATTTTGGAGCTTGGTGATGGTGGGGACATGTATGATTACATTATGAAACATGAAAAAGGTTTGTCAGAAGAACTGGCAAGGCATTATTTCTTGCAAATTGTTAATGCTATAGACTTTTGTCACAAACTGCATGTTGTCCATAGAGATTTGAAACCGGAAAATGTTGTCTTCTTTAAAAAAACTGATACAGTCAAATTAACAGACTTTGGCTTCAGCAACAAATTTGTACCTGGCAACAAATTGGACACTTCATGTGGGTCCCTTGCCTATTCTGCTCCTGAAATTTTATTAGGAGACTCATATGATGCTCCTGCTGTTGGTTTGTACTTTTGTATTGCATCTTTTTATCGTATCTGTATCATTGTATCAATTTTGTATTTTTTATCTGTCTGTTTTTGCATTTTTCAACATTTTCATACAGATTTTTTATTATTATAGCATCTGTTTAACATTTTTGTGGCATATTGTTATTGTTTCACTGTAGCTTCACCTTGGAATTCAGACATTTTTATTCATACTTAAATGCATAGTATAAGAATTTATAAAAATTACTAACACACCTTATTTATATCTAGATGCTAGATTTCAAATTAATGAAAACATGCATTATTATGTTGACATTTTTTTTGTCACATGATTTTATTAGCTGAATTTTTATCAGTTCTCTACAAAATTTTTTTTTCTTTTCATATTGTATGCTATTTCCAAAGTTCAGCATCAAGGATTTTTTATTTTAGTGTTTATTTTGTTTTTATAACATGAATAATATGATTTCAACTTTAATCTTATTAACAATCTATTTTAATTTTATTGTTCTGAGTTGTAAGCATAATTACCATTTTGCTTTTGGTAACTTGTGTCAGTAAATTTTAGGCTTTTCAAAGTGTTTCATTCAATGAAACAGGCAAGAAAGTGTAATGACTTGGTTAAAATTTCAGAATTTATAATTGCATGCAAAACATTCAATTGAGCAGCTCAATGTTTGAAACTATTTCAAGAGCTTCTAACAATTTTGCTCTGTTGCTTCTCGTGACATAGCTGAATTCAAGTGTATTGTTTGATTATTATAAAAATATTTCATCAACAATTGATGTAAAAGTTTGCCAAACAATGTTAAAGTATCAATTTCAAAATCATTTGAATCATTTGCAATACAGGATCAATATAATTTGATTTGAAATTGAAATATGGTGTAAAAAGAATCATTATTAATTAAATTGAATTTGGTTTAATTCAATATATCATTGAGAAAACATACAGTAACAATATGTGTTGAAGTTGATGAGATGTTGTAAAGTTGAATTAAATCTTGTTGGAATAATTGAATGGCATTGTTGCAAATTGAAGTTAATTTTAATGCAACATTCATCTTAGAGGAATTCTAAATGTGGCTTGCATGGAATGAAATGTGTTTGTTGAGAAATTGAGGTGACATGGAAAGGTTATATTAGGTACATATTAAGTTTTCAAATATCAGTGTGGAGGTTATTGAAAAAAATTAGAAGCGGAGGTAGTTGAAATGATTTTGTACACTCTAGTAATTTATAATTCAAGTGTTAATGATAGGGAAGCAAAATTGTTTCTGGAAATTTTGAAATAACAAACATACATGAAAATGTTAGTTTCACTAATTAATGCACTTATTCATCCTCCTGGATCGCATATTTATCCATGTAATCGGACACAGAAGGTTATCACTATTTTATATCCACACATATATTTGTTTAAGCAAAAATAGTGTTTCACATAAATAGATATAAACATTAAAATGTGCATGACTTAATGTAATTAATGCAATAATTTTCCATGAGGTTATTTTCCAGTTATTAATGTTGGATTGAGTGACGTCATCTTTTTTGGTTTCTTATTTCTCCCTCATCTTTAAATAATTCAATATATTCATACATACCTATATATATATATATATATATATATATATATATATATATATACATACATATACATATATGTTGGTAATAGGCCATAATTTTTACAATATTCTATAAATTCTACCGAATGTTTGGCGTTAATATGTTTGTAGTTCGTTTTTTCGATTTTTCTCACTAAAGTTTTTTGGTGAACGTTTAGTTTATTAAAATTCAAAATAAACTTATTTTTCGAATTCATGCTGCAAATAAGGCCATAATTCGATTCGGAATGAATCATCATCAGTGCTCCTTGCTGTATATATAGGGAAATATTGACTTTGTCAAGATGAACTTTGACATTGTAAAAATTAACTTTGGTGTTGTAAAATTGAACTTTGATGCGAATTAGGTGTCAGGTTTCTTAATTGGCTGGTCATCTTCTTTGGTCTCCTTTTCTTCTTTGTCACTATTTATGATGCTAGTTTTTATTACTTCTTTGTTTTCGTTCCAACCCGGCGCTTAACCAACAACGAAAATAAAACTATTATCCAAGTTCATCATGCAGATAAGGTCTTATTTCGATATTTTTTACAAATCATCTTCAGTGCAGGTTTGGAAGTCTGTTCTTCAGCAAATTTTACCGAATTGTTGGTATTAATCAATTTAAAGTTTGTGTTTTTAATTTTCCTTATTACCTTGGGGAACCAGGTCTCTGGACGCTAAACGAAGATTGATTGATTTCCTTACTAGAATTTTCTGGAAATTGTTCAATTTATTGAAAATAAAACTATTATCCAAGTTCATCATGCAGATAAGGTCTTATTTCGATATTTTTCACAAATCATCTTCAGTGCAGGTTTGGTTTATATAGTTTCTTTAAACAAAGCAAAGTCTGTTCTTCAGCAAAGTTACTTAGTTGGTATGTATTCTTTATCTTTGTTGTTATCATACTTTTGTTCTTCATTGTTATTGAAGATATTATTAAGTTGTCGAGTTGGTAATGATGTTATCATTCTTTGTTGGATGTTTATTTGGGGTTTATTGATATCTATTAGGATGGCTTCTGCAATTTTTTGATGTATTGTGTTGGTATTTTGATAAATTATATTTGTGTTGTTGTCAAGAATTTGGGGGGTTATTGGATATGCATGTGTTGATTGCCAGTGAGATTTGATGGCTCCTCTTTGTGTATGCATTGTGAGTCGTCTTGATAGTGAAGTAGTAATAACACCAATATACGAACGTTGTTGACGCGCACAGTCTTCAATAGGGCATTTAAATTTATGTATTACTACATGATTACGCTTCAAAGTAGAATCGTCTTTGGAGTACAGTTGTTCTTTAAGACCAATTGTGATGTCTTACAATTATTGTAGTATATCTTGAGTTTTATTTTATTAGTATCATTGATTGGCGTAACCTTTCTTTTTATGATTTGTTTGAGGACGACTTCGTCTATTTCATGTGCTTTTGACATATGATTTCTGTAATATAGGATTATGTCGTTGTCATTGTTGTTTTTAAATATATTGTTATCTTGTTGTAGTCTTTGTTGAATGGTGCTCTCAATAAATGATGTTTTATAATCATTGCTTACTAGTAGATTAGTAATTCTTTTCAATTCCGTATTGTGATCCCCAGTTGAGGATGAATATGTGAATGCTCGCAAAGGATTTTATTGTACTTATTTTGTATTGTTTTGCGCATTTGCTTAGCCCATTTAAATAAATACTTTTATTTGTTGCTTTGACGTATACGAAAGTTGTGAATCTTTTTTCGTCATGAAATGGCAATGAGTTTTTACTTTGTGGCTTGATAGTGAAATTCAATTTTGATCGGTTCACGGTTGCTAGTAGCTGATTGACTTGTTCCGAATCATTGTATGCGACGGAGATATCTTCATATTTCAACATATCTGGCATAAATCTTTGGTTCTAATTCCGAATTGTCTCTAAACGTTTTGCTCTCAAGATGACCTATTTTCAATAAATTGAATAATTTCCAGAAAATTCTAGTAAGGAAAGTTGAAAAGGCAAACTTTAAATTGATTAATGCCAACAATTCGGTAGAATTCATACAATTATATATATATATATATATATATATATATATATATATATATATATATATATATATATATATTGCAATTATTGATGAAGATCACGTCATGTTCTGCGCGTTAGTTAGCTTCCCGTCTAATCTTTCGATTTTTCAAACGGTAGATCGTAAATCATTGTCAAGTTTCTTGTGTTCAAAACCAAAATTTTTATTTTTATCAAGCGTGATAGAACATTTAAGCGTGATAGAACAAATAAGCTTTTTTCGGTATTCCTGTACCATCTTCGGTGTTGTAATTGATACATTGTATATGTGGCCAAATGCTCAAATATATATAATATATATATTGTGCATCTACAATGTTGATTCTTTGTTTGTTTAAAGTGAATACTTAACGGTCATCTAATTATTTATTACACTTTGTGCAATATGACACTTTTACGTGTCATCATTATCATGATTCTTCTTTAATAAATTTATTAGTTGGAAGGATTCCAATTGCACATTGTTGAACATTTGTTATGTATCTTTTTTGTTCTATCATGCTTGAATGTTCTATAATGCTTACAATAAATAAAAGTTTTGGTTTTGAACTCAAGAAACTTATCATTAGATTAATCTATCGTTAGATAAATCGAAAAATTAAACATGAAGCTAACTAAGCGGGATATGCTGGGAATTTCATTATATATATATATATATATATATATATATATGTGTGTGTGTGTGTGTGTGTGTGTGTGTGTGTGTGTGTGTGTGTGTGTGTGTGTCAAGAATTTGATCTTCTACCAATATATATATATAAATATATATATATATATATATATATTTATATATATATATATGCTGGTAAAAAGCCACAATTTTTTATATATTATATATATATTTATATATATATATAATATATATATAATATATATATATATAATATAAAATATATAATCTGTTTGCATCAACACTGTGTGACCTAGTAGTGGCATGTTGGTTTATTGAAAATATAATAGCACCCATTGATCACAAATTTTTCAAATTGTTTCAACACTTTAAATAATTTTAAATATTTCACGAACAACAACAACAAGCATACAACAAGCATACAATGCCTTGAAAATAAGAAAATATGATGACAAATGATTAAGACCTTCATTACAGTATGAATGATGAACTCTTGCAATTTGTTCCTGATTAATGAGAGCATGGAAAAATGGCTGGTTGGCTGGTGGCTGGCTGTAAGTTTCATTTTGTTATCGCATGTAAATCACTATCTCCTTTCTCTCCCTCCTCCTCTCTCTCTTCTCTCTCTCTCTCTCTCTCTCTCTCTCTCTCTCTTTCTTTCAATTTCAAATTTTCAGTGCAGAATCATATTTGGAATTTTTAATTTGTAGCTGTTGTATTAAGTTTTTTTTACATTTTTACAATTTATCATTTGTTTTTGTGTGTACTGGTTATGACATTAAACTGACCCTCACTGCCTTGTGAGTGATGTTGGATCATCAAAGGCTAGGCCCACCGCTTATAACTGTGGTTGCGTAAGGAAGGGCGTTCTGCGTAAAAATTAGCCAAATAAATTACTTATGATGGAATGGCGTCGAGGGGTATTTCGGTTTCATCATAGGTAGCCAAACGGCAACCCCCGATCTCGGGGAAAATGTCGTCTAAACGTGTGTTGTTGTCGTTTTGTGTGTTTCGTTATTTTCTCCATTCAAATATTAATGCGTTAGAATTAATTGCTTCTATTCTGAAAATTTTTAAATGCAATTTTTATATATTGTATACGCAAATTTATACATGCCAGCAAGTTGGCAGATGCACATTTGTCTATACGTGTCCATTCATGCATTGTCACCATGAATGGAATGGAGCATGAACGGCTACTGATTTCGTGTCAAGTTTGATGACATCAATATGTTACATATTTATTTTATAAACACCTAATGTCAAACGTCTTGTTGTTGGCCTGCCTTCAATGATAACACATCAGTCAAGATAACTTACATTGTTGATTGGTTGGCCTGCATTGCTTGCTCTTTCTTATCAATTACTAATTGGCAATTGAAAATAAGCACTTGTGGTCCACAAACTTAATGCTATACATGAACCGAAAAAAATTAGATGGAAATTTTACTTGTTTGTTAGAAGACTGAACAATGAATTTTTTTGTTTGATTTGCTTACTATATTAAAATGTCATCGTTATTTCCGCTTTTTCTAATATTTACTGACAAAAGCCCTGAATTAAAGTTTTGATGAATTTTTTGTGGCCCCCATAGGTGATAAAATGATGATGATGATAATTAAAAAGATCGGAAGCATGTTGTTGAATTGTTCGTTGTGATTGTTTTATGCTGTTTGTAGTTGACATTTTTTTCTTTGATGTGGGGAGTTTAAAATTCTTGAGGCAGCATGTATAGTATGCATGCAAATGAAGCATTGTTTTTGAGCTGTCAGTTGGAATGAGGTTACCTATAATCATTATTTCACCAATTTTATTTAGAATATACATTAAAGCTTTTTTCCAGAAATTAATTTTTATTATTGTTTTATTAGTTATAAACGTTAAAAAATTATTCAAAAATCATCTAAGTTATGGAATATATACAGACAACACTGGATGGTTTTTTTTCTCATTCATATTTATTCATGAAACCACTCTGCTTTAATTGGCTTGCATAATAAAGGGTCAAAAAATTAATTTGGCAAAAAGTTAATGCTTCCTTTATGTAAGTTAATTAGATAAATTTTCAACCATATATATTTGCATTTGTAATCAACATTCATACCTTTTTATATTTGTACTTTGATTTAAAAAAAATACTGCAGACACACATAAACATGTATCAGTTTACATTTTTGCACATGCATATTTTAAAGCATGAATACATGGTGTTAATGATGACAAACATCACCCTGCAGACATCTGGAGCATGGGGGTGATATTGTACATGCTGGTCTGTGGGCAGGCACCATTCCAAGAGGCCAATGATAGCGAAACTCTGACCATGATCATGGACTGCAAGTACAACATCCCTGGCAACATCTCGGAGTCCTGCAAGGAGTTTGTATTTATTTTATCATACACATTTTTTTGCCTAAAATTTTATTTCTTTTTCTCTCTCCCTCTCTCTTTCTCTTTCTCTTACTTTCTATCTTCAGTTTATTTCTTTTCACTCCCTTTTTTGTTCACTGTCTCTTTCTAATATCTTTCCATTTCTTCCAGTGTGTTATCCCTACAAAAGAATGTTTCTAGTACTAATAATTTAACGACTTGCCATCTGCAGATATTGTTAGTTTCTATTTGTTAGTAGTTTTTTTATGTTGCTGTTGTTACAATGCAGTTATATCTCCTTTGAGTCTAACCTCACGTGGCTTATTCATCATTCTAAATGGCTGATGTTCATTTTTAACTCCTCTGCCCTTGAGATATCAACATCTTATTAGCATAAACATTCGTTTGATTTTCAATTAGATACCATCGTATCTTCGTCATCATACACACATCACGCATTGCATGTACACAAACAAGTGTACATACCTACTTTACATAAACATTATATAGACATGTTTGATATGCTTTCATTTATTTATCATAATGCTGGTGTGATGTGATGAAATGATATGAGTTGGAGAGGAACTGATTGCAGATAAATTATATAGCTTCTACTTTATTCATTCATCTTTTTCATTTATTCAACTTATATATATATATATATATATATATATATATATATATGTGTGTGTGTGTGTGTGTGTGTGTGTGTGTGTGTGTGTGTGTGTGTGTGTGTGTGTGTGTGTGGTGTGTGTGTGTGTGTTGTTTTGCGTGCGTGGTGCGTGCCTGCGTGGGTGTATGTATACAAAAAGAGTTTTTTCAATTTTTCATCTCATCATTAAAGATTAATTTTTATCTTGAAATCATGAAAGTTGCCTTCATCTCGACATCAAAATGTATTCCAGCCTTTATAATATGTTTTAAGCTCCTATTATACATTATCAAAACATCTCCATTACATTACTATCAAGCAACTAAACCTCCATAAATGACTTTCTCATCACTAGTCAGTTACCTGCATATACTATACAAACGCAGCCATGTTAGTTTGACTTTTGTAAGCTTTGTTGGAGGTGCCTGGTTCAATTCCTACAATCGCTTCAACTTTTATCGTTAACGGACATCATTAAACGACTTTCACGAATTTTTATTCTTAATTTTTAAATTGAAGATGTTGAGAGAGACTGATTTGTGGTGTTATTTTATGTGGTAGTTGGTGGAAAATATACAATGTCATCATTCACTCTAACAGGTTGTTTGTTTTCATCTTGGTCGTACTGGTCATTTCATGTGATCATTTCGTGATCATGCCATTTATTAGATTTGGATGAAATATCTAGTGACTAATTAATTAGATCTATAATAATTATGGCTAATCATCATGCCATACTTATAATATATTTAAAGACTTTTTAACACACTCCACACCACACAGAAATACACACGTACATATTCATATACATACTCTTCATATACACACACATACACACCACACACACACACACACACACACACACACACACACACACACACACAGATACTAACACACATGCACATCTGCATATGAGTTATGTTCCATTTTGTGATACATTCTGTTACTTTGTTGTTATTTATCTTTTCTAGTCTGCAGGTTGGTAATCATTTCAGCTGTTTGTGATTGTTCATCACCTGGTAGGCTATTTTAAAATTTAAACTTATTAAAAATAAGTTATGTATTTGTTTTTTTTTTTAGTTGCCAAAAAAAAATGTTTAGACGGCAACCCCCGATCTCGGGGAAAATGCCGTCTAAACGTGTGTTGTTTTGTTGTTTTTTAGTTGCCAAATTACTTTCAAGTACTTTTTTATGTTAAAAGTTTAACTTTTTTTAATTTTTCAAAATTGCTGTTGGACATGCCTAGGTGAGTAAATTGCTTTGGATAACTATGAGAATTGGAAAATTGAAAATTAAAATAAAAACATAAATAAGTATCTCAAAATGATTAATAAATAAATGAATTAATTAGTTAATTTAAATTAAAGTAAATCAAGTTATGATGAAAAATGTGAAATTAAGTATATAAAAATATTGGACCAAATATATATAAACTACTGGTAGAAAGAAGATGAATGATTTTTAAAATATGCAGGCATAAACTTAGCTGGTTTGTTAAACATTGTTATGGTACTTAGAAATATTTCACGTGACGTCACGAATTCATTCAGTGACTTCATTTTATGAGGATGATGATTTCAACTGACATTGATCCGCTGACAACCACACGTAACTAAGTTATCAATAAATATTCTGGAAATATACCAAGAAGTTGGTTGTAGCAGTCACGTGATTATGATTTCCAAGTTTTCCATGTTTCACATGCTGGTGAAACTGATACTGTACTATCTGCTATTATATTTGTTTGATTGGTTGATTGGTTGGTTGGTTTGTTTATTGATTGGTTGGTTTATTGATTAGTTGGTTGATCGATACTATAAATTAATTAATTTAATTTATTGATTGATTGAATTATTGATTGCATTGTCAAATTTGTGCGGTATATTGATGTGAGAGATTTTAATGTAATGAGATAATGGTATAGATAGATTGATGGATGGATGAGTAGATAGATGAATGGATGGATCAATCAATCAATCAATCAATCAATCAATCAATCAATCAATCAATCAATCAATCAATTTATGGATTGATTCCAGAAAGAATATAAAAACAAAAACATGACAAAGATTGGCAAGAACGTGAAAATAATTGAAGAGGATATAGATATGGGAATCATTTATAATTTAAAAGCATGAATATAAATTGACACACTAATGATAATTAGCTTACATACAACTCTGTCAGCTATAAGTTGAATATTGTTTGTATGTGTTGTGATGCTACTTGTTCAAGTATATGTATGCAACCATTTTTTTTATTAGCAGTAAAAGAAGATGTAGATATATAGTGTCATCGTAAGTGCATTCAAATTATCCTTAGCCAGAATCATTGTTATGGAATCATAGCTCTGTCATTGAATGTACCATCAAATTGTTAGATGTTTGTTATAATCTTTGCTTGTTGGAATTTTAAATATTTCTTTAAGTAGTTATACTTATTGGATTTCTAAAGTTTAAATATTTTAGTAGGCTTATCTAAATAAATTATAATTGTTATTATTTATTATAATTATTATGATTATTGATCGTTGATTTTATGATCATTGATCATACACACATCAATCCATTCTTCTAATCTTTTCTTTTGAAGGCAGTAATGTTGAAAACTCTTGAATATTTCTGTCAGTCCCTTCAATTAAAATGATACACACGAATCAGATATCATCCTGGAATTCATTATATAAATCCTGTCATTATTAATTGGATTGAAAGCTGTCTATATAGCCTTGTTATTATATTTTAATTAACAACAACAACAACAATAATAATAATAATAATAATAATAATGGGAACACTGCTTTTATTTTATCAAATAACACAAAATGAATATAGAGATAGATATAAAATAATGTTTAATATAATAAAGTATTTAAATTAATAAGCTGTTAGTCTAATTTGCTCATCACTGGACAAAATTGAGTACAAATAGAGGATTATAGCTAATAAAAATAATGATTTATCATATACATATAATAATAATAATAATAATAATAATAATAATAATAATAATAATAATAATTAGTGATGATAATGTTAATAGTTCAGAAGTCCAGCCTTATATGTTGATGTTGTTACATTTTTTATATTATTCACATCATTGATATTGTTCATGTTATAATTGTAACTATCTAATATTTCAGATTATTCGTCTGTTCATTGGGAGGAATTTTATAATCAATTAATAGTAGCCACAAGTATTATTAATCACTCTTACTAATTTGTTGTCAGCGAGTTTAGATGTTGAATATGAAATATAGAACTCCATGTGACTGACACCTTCAAACAGCAAGTCATGACAACGACTTAACTCTTAACAATTTTAATCATAGTGCTGATTTCAATTTTGTTATAACATTTTCATAGTTAATTAGTTAATTAATTAATTAATTAATTAATTAATTAATTTATTAATTTATTAATTTATTAATTTATTAATTTATTAATTAATTTATTTATTATAACATTATTACATAACTCGCGAGTGTTTATAGGGTTATGTTAATTAGTTAATTAGTTAATTAATTAATTTATTTATTTATTATAACAATATTACGTAACTCGCGAGTGTTTATAGGGTTATGTTAATTAAGAAAGTTACAACCTTGCCAGGCCTTCTCTATTCATAGCGCTTATTATTATAGATAGGTTCACTACGGTATTTACTGTCCTAAAAGTCCTACCCATTGGTTGTTTCAGCTAATATTTGTTGATATCATGCATAGCAATAACATAGCATAGTATGTTTTAAAAGACCAGATTTGAAGAGCAATGTAGACCTTGATAAGACGCACGCCATCATGACACATGTTCTAAACGGAGTTTTAAACAGAGTCTATTTCAGATAATTTTGCGTTACATTGCCATGACCTTGTTCGAGGGCACAATATGCCACTGCCCATCAGAAGTTAAACTGTAGGATGCCTCACTCCTTATGCATGCATCAGAAATAGAATATAATTGTTTAAAGTTATGTTTATTTTATATGCATAAATTATGTATAAAATAAATATTTTATATATTTGTGTGTGTGTGTGTGTATGTGTGCTTACGTTTGTATGTGTGTATGTATATTTACGTGTATGCGCGTGCGTGTGTAATGTGTATGCATGTTTATATGCCTGTGTGGTGATATTAAATGAGTGGACCATTTTGAGGACCACAACATCCCAGTCAACATAATTAACAAATTGCAATCGGCAATTATGTTTCTAAATGACTTGATGTAATGAGGTTAGCTTGTTGGGGATGTTTGTTTATGTACAAACACCTGTAGTAGTGTACCTTCCTGTTCATACACTTTACACGTGTACAAACACGTACACATGTACAAATACATGCACGTGCACACAAACACGTATACATGCAATCATGAGTGAATTGTAAATACATAAATAATGCCCAGCATACAGGCAGCCATCTGATCTTACATTAATTATTATTTGGTTTCTATTTTCTTTCAACGTTGTTCCAGTCAACATCATTCATCCCCCTTTTGTATGCTTACCCTTTCATGCATTCATTTGAATTCACCAATGCACTGCTTATTTTTGTTTCAAGAGGTTTACCCCGCACTAAACCACATTACCACTGATTTCCAAACAAAAATAATTTTCCTCGTCCAGGATTTAGATGGAATGAAAAAGCTCTCCACTCAATAACACACACATTTACACACACACATACTTTAGCAACTTTGCATTTTAATATAGAAAATTAACATTGATAAAAACTTGCTTTGTGGGTAAATTAATGTCCTATCTCTTTCTTACTTATCTATCTTTGAACAATGGTACCAGAATGGAAATAAATGATAATGAAGAAGAAGGAGATGATGATGAGGTTAGTTTTCATTCACTGGCAAGATTTATTTCACGTCCCTGTCTACCTGTTGATTACAAGTCGCCACTGATATCTTGGTAGAGATTGTACTATCTAATAAATATAAATGTTTCCTTTTATAGATGCATTGTGCTTCTGCTCCAGAACTCAAAATAACTCCCCGTATCTATATGATACATGCATTATACATATTTATATGTATATGGTGGCATTATACGTCACTATATATATTATAAATGTTAATATGTTTTTCTCCGTTATTTATGAAATATATAAATAAATAAAATTTAAGTTAGGTTTATCAGTTTTTCCTCTTTATTCTTCTCTCTCTCTCTTTCGTCGTTTTTTCCTCCATTTATTCCTTGTCTAATTCTTTTTTTCTTTTATTAGCAATGCAATTTATTTATTAACTTCTTAATTTTATTAACCTTATTTGCAGATAAGTAAGCCTTATATAATTTACTACTTCTAACGAAGGTAATAATTGTTCTTTATCAAACTGAACAGTTGGTTATTTAACAATTATTTGTAAGGCGTATGTGTGTGTGTGTGCGTCTGTATGTGTCTTTGGGAGCAGTGTCGGATCTAGAGGGAGGTAGCCGGGGGACCAGTTTTTTCCCATTGTGAGCAGTATTTGTAATAAAAGTCAGTAAAAGTCATTGTTTAAACCGAAAAAGCACTGTTTTACTTTAAAATCCAAAAATCGGACCAAATGAAAACTTGAAGACTTCAAGCTAAAACGAGGATGGATAGATGGTTGGATTGATTGATTGATTGATTGATTGATTGATTGATTGATTGATTGATTGATTGATTGATTGATTGATTGATTGATTGATTGATTGATTGATTGATTGATTGATTGATTGATTGATTGATTGATTGATTGATTGATTGAGTGAGTGAGTGAGTGGTTGATTGAGTGATTGATTGAGTTATTGAATGAGTGATTGATTGAGTGATTGATTAATTAATTGATTGGTTGAAGTTTGCCTCTTCAACCAGCCAAATTGTCGCACATCATACGAACAACAAACATGACATACACAGAATATATATATATATTATATATATTTATATATATATATATATATATATATATATATATATATATATATATATATATATATATTCTGTGTTGTTTGTCATTTGATGGGTGGATTCTCAATACAGTATTGAAATATTGAATATTTTGGCCACCGAGTTAGCTCAGTCGGTAGGAGTGCCATGTCTCGCACTGCTATTACGCGAAGGCATAGTTTGAATACTGTCTGTGCAAAACTCAAAGACCATCGTACCCGTGTGATGCGGTGCTTGCGCGTGCATACGTAACGCGTATTTGCGTAATATGCTAGAGACGGTACGGCCCGATGATCTAATTATGTGTAAGTACATATAATCTACATCTCATTAGCTTTGCGTTTGACAGAGCTGCAATAAAAAAAGATGCAAAACTATTTTCAAGGCTTATACTAGTGATTGCTTTAATAAAAAAAATAATAATAGTAAAGTAATGTAAAAATAATTCCTTATTTATTTTTCTATGGCAGTTTGATAAAGAAAATGTTAGTACGAGAGCCGTGTGACCGAGCCAAACTTGAGGACATCATGGCACATCCCTGGTTGAATGCCAGTGGGGCAGTTATCCCTCAGGAAGTCGAAGTACCCCTGGTCTGTCAGAAGGAGTTGTCCATTGAGGACCACAACTGCATTGTCGAGAAGATGATCAATGGCAACTTTGCTACTGTGCACGACATTTCTGAGTATGTATCAATATGCGTGAATATGAACCTCATTTTTCTTTTTATATATTTAGAAATTCATTCATTGAATATTGTGACCATAATAATTGTTTGACAGATCTTTAAGCAAACACAAGTACGACCACATAACAGCAACTTATTACTTGTTAGCCGAGAGACTTCTTAGGAAGCGCAGAGGTAGCCTGTCACTCGCGATGCCAGAAGCTGCTGAAGTAGCTCCTGCTGCAACAACCACAAACGTTGCTGATGCATCTAAACCTCTCCTCTCTCCACTCGCCCTCTCACCTAGGTACATATTTTTGATTGATGAAAAATTGACTAACATTTGCTATCTGCTTGTTGGCATGTTAATTACAAGTGAAGGTATGTTTCAGTTTAATGTAGGTTACGTAGTTTAATGATTTTTATAATTGTTAAAACCCGCGTCATTCCATCGATAATTTTTTATTCACACAGGTCTTCAAATCCGTCGTGCAATTTAAACAGAACACCCCGTTCCACGACCCCTTCATCTGCAGGTGGTGTCAGCATCAACCTGGAAAAGTCGAGGACACCATTCGATTGTCTCGTCTCTCCACCCAGTTCGCACGTCTCACCGGCAAACTCGACTAACTATCTCAATCGCCTATCCTCCGGACATCAAGGAGACGATGACGACGAGGAGGACGATGACGTAGGCAGCCTTAACAGATCCAAAGATAAATTGTTCTTTCCGCTTAATTTCACAAATTTGACATCTGCTTCACCAACGTTGTTGAGTGGGTTCTCCCAGCTAAGCACGAAAAGTTTTCTCCCTCCTCCTCCACCGCCCTCCGCCATGAGACCACTGTTCAGTGTTCAGAGCTCTCCACAACTTTTAAATGAGATCTGTGAAGAGGAAGGAGAATCGGATGACGACGATGATAACAAGAGTGCTACTAACTTGATTCAACGACATCAAATGAAACAATCCCCATCATACACCTGCGGAAAAAGTTTGTCATCAACAATGACAGCAGCTTTTGCTCCTGCCGGCAACGCGGAAAGCGTCTGCGTGGCTGAGAACAACAAATTAGAAAACGCGAGGAAGAAACGATTTGCTGAGAAGAAACGAGCAGCCATCGGCAGGAACAACAACATTCGAAATGCATTCAACGTCAGCAGTTCAGAGGATGTCAGTGACTCTGAAGAGTCCAAGCAACAACAACAACCGGGCAGACATTTTGATAGGAAGCAACAACAACAACAGAAAGATAGCTTGCAACAACAACAACACAAGCGACAAATCAACAGATTGCAACAGAACAGTTGCAAAGGTGCAGATTTCAGTAGGAAAGACAGCAGCGAGCACTCGAGTGACACCGATGGTCCTGGAAGTTTTCACGGAAGGAGTAGAAACTTGATGGATCGATATCACCAGCACCACCATCATCATCAACAACAGCAAGGAACACACTCTAGCAGCGGTAACAATCACGAAAGAAAACAGCCGCAGTCTGAAAATGATGCCAACGACAACCTGAGCGAGAACGTGAGCGAGATCGATTGTGACGAGTACGCAGAGTTTCAGAGGAGCAGAAGTGCTCGAAGTTCCAGAGACCTTCCTCAGATCAACATGTTGAAAGCTGCTCTCATCAAACTCAACATTGCCTGCAGTGATGATAACGATGACGAATGCGACAGTTACGATTATGATTTCGATGATAAGTTATCCGGTCTGAGCAGTACCAACAGCAACAGCAGGAGTCGAAGGAACTCAAAAAAATTATTCTCAGTGTTGGAAGAGAATTCATCTTATCCTCATCAGCAGCAGCAGCATCTTCTCTCATCTCTCTCGTCATCTTCCGTGTCGTCTGCATTCAAGTTGTCGTCAACGTCGCCCGTAACGATGACGACCATGATGCTGGCAATGAGGTGCAACGAGAGGAAAGCATCGTCAATGATGAACATCAGCAACACTTTCCAGTGCAGCAACTGCATCGACGACAACAACGCTGACGACTCTCTCAATTTCCTTGACCTGCATGCTCTGAAGTACAAGGAGAATAAATATTCATTGTTCGATGACAAATCAAGAAGTGGCGCCTGGTGCTACAACAACGCCACAAACAACATCAAGGCATCCCTGCATAGATCGGTCGATTGCAACCTTAATAATCAGAGCGTCTACTCAGATTACTACAGCACCGACGCCACCAGCTACTACAACGACTTGTCCTTCGGCTCCAAACTTTCCTGGCAGAATGATCTTCTCGGTAGGATTGGATATCATGATATCTCCTTGCTGGCTTGATGGTGATGATGATGCTTATAATAATTAAACCGAAATAGTACAGAAGTATAAATGATGTGATTAACTGTTTGTTTCGTTTTTTTTTTTGTTTGTTCATAATTTTTTATTCTTACTCGCACAAAAATGAAATTTAATAAATTAATTAGAAACTAATTTGTTCATATTTTTCAGTTTATTCAATTTATGTTTGTTGACACTTGTTACATTCGCTAAATAGATTTATATGCTGCTTAGCTTGAATGCCAGACAAGTGGCATACATTATTAACTTTCAGCTCCTTCTAAATGGTTTTGTTTCATTGTCTGAATGACGGAATGAATAGAAAAAATATATACATTAACATTAAATTATCTTTTCATAGATTTTATTAATTTTTACATGCTGAGAACGTGAAATGACCAAACATTGCCATCGTACGATGGCTAACAATAAAATATGTTTTGAACTTTGTTTATAAATTTTATATGAAGTTACAAACCTAAGTAGATAGAACTGATTCATTAAAAAACACTTTTAAATTAATATTCAAACTTTTTTAACCAGCTTTTAATCGCAAGGATGAACTTTCATCCAGTCTGACCCTTCATTAACTCTTTTTCGAATGATGCTTGCACAGTAGCAGTTTTGGTTCACGCTGACTTTTAACATTGTTTCATTATAGTTATTTAAATGTACATATGCTATTTTATATAATATATTTGTATCGTACATCTCTATGTATATATATATATATATGTATATATATATATATATATATATATATATATATATATGCAGTAATTTGTGAAATCTATCGAATTTCTATCGTTAGTGCTTCGCTATTAACTCACGAGAAAGGTGGAGCATTCGTTGCTCACGTTCTTGTTCGCTTGTTAGGTTTCTTCGGTTGGTCGTAGATATAATTTTTTAGTGAATGTTGGTAAAAGACCATAACTAATACAGTAACATGATATCTACCGAATTTCTAGCATTATACCAGCGTTGGTGGAAATTTTGTAGATTTCATAAATTACTGCATTGATTATGGTCTTTTACCAGCATGTTTATATATACATACGCATAAATATAAATATTTATTTATTCATGTATTTATCTAATTTCATAACATAGCTGTTGTTGTTGTTCAAGTTGTTATAATTGTGATTGTTCCACAAACCAGCCAACTTTTCCATTTTCTGTTGTTAGAACTCTCTGAAATCCTTCCTCTGTCACCGATTCCATCTTCTTCACGTGTTTAAATATCTACAAATTCAGCTGACTTCATTCAACGTCTGTCTGTTTCGCTGTTATCATTTTTGGGGTTATTATTACCAATTACCATTGTTGATGTTGTTGAAATTGTTTATATTGTTATTCGTAATTATATTAATGTTGTTAATAAATTTCGCGTTGAACGTCATTATTATTATTAATATTATTATTATTATCATTAGTTGTTGTTGTTTTCAATCGATGAGAGTATGAACTTTTTCAGATGACACGACAACGAGTTGAACTATCATACATACCCAACAACAAACTTAACCACATCTTCCTCCCAGCTAGCTGCTGCAGCTCTTTCGTTTGCTTTATAAATTAGCAACTTGTTTGTTCTCGTACTTCTGTTCCTGGTTCGTCTTAAGTCGTAATGATTCGAAGAGAGCAGGCATAACAGAATTATTTTGGATCCAACTTTTGTTCAATGCCTTTTTGGTGATTATGTAGATGATGGTGACTATGGTAATGATGATTATGATGGCCACATCCGATTAGAATTTCAGATGTTCACGCGTGCTCCATCAAAAGTTATAATTCATTATTGTACGTCCACTCCTTAACATGTTAATATTAAAGTCGAATTAACTGTTGGTTGTCAGTGCGAACATTATTCTTGAAAACAGGCTTACAGGAAAACATTTGATCGTGCAATTAATTAACTATTATCTTCACCGCTGCTAATACTACTTCATTTTCGATTTCTAAGTTTTAGTATGCCTAATACTGAATTACTAATACTCTGCTGCTGTCTGTATAAACTATGCAACTGCATTCTTTATCAACCACACTTTGATGACTTTTTCGATTACAGCGCATTTTTAAGTTTTCATGAAAGTTTAAAAATATTTAAAGTGCTCAAAATTTAAAAAGTAATTGTTGCTTAAGGAGTTATTTAATTTTAAGTGTGCTTGTGTTTAAACTGTAGTGAAGTTGTGTTCGTAGACCTTTTTTGTCATGTAAACCAATTCGATACATAATATAAATGTGCATGGCGCATAGTTATTTGTGGCATATTTATTGTTAATTTTATTCCTTTTATACTTGTTTGTCATCATGCTGTACTTATCGACATTAGGTTTCCTTAATTATTACTTTCATTAGTTATTCGTTACCAAATTAAAAAATATTCTAAACATACGTGTGTGCTTTTAGTTTTACAAAAGATTCACTTATAAAAGTTACATCCAAAACACCATCGATCGTCGAAGGTATTTGAAGGCACTCAATTGCTATTCTATCAATTTTTTGAAGATAGCCGAAAAACACAATCGTCGGTTGGTTAGATTCTTCTTAACCTTCTTAACCGACTCCGAGTAAAATTTCCCACTTCGGGTTCCGATTCCCAAATATTTTTTTTAACTTTTTCATCATAATTTCACTTTGTTATCACTAGCATATAGAAAATACTTTAAAGAACATTTAAAATCATTAAATGTAATTGTTATTCTAAGTAAAATTACCCTATTTTTTATGTATTAAAATATACTGAAAACATTTTTAAACTTTTATCATTTCATCACTACTGAAAAAAGAAATACTTTAAGAAACTTTAAATCAGTCAATGT